AAATCTTGAAAGTAAACGCACCTGTGCTAGAATATGATATTCTATTTTTCCGTTCATTTTTGCATTCATGTTGTATCGCCGGGTGCGTACGTATTAGAATCTGCAATCGAGCAATTATAATGCAAGTAAGCAATAGTAGTAAGCAAACTATTTTCATTCTGAAAATGTCTGGGCAATGAGCTTATACAAATATTCGTCATTTTGTAAATATGTTGGAAGCTTGATGTGATGAATGAATTGAAGATACCATTTAAATGTAGTTGTAATAAATTTCTAAATTAATTTCCTGTCCCTTGTAACCTTAAGTAACGTCTGCTCAATACTTTTACAACAACTCCTGCACTGATCATGACTGTTCATGATTACTAATGAATTAGTATTTCAAAATACAAACACAACCGTAAATCATCTTCTTTTATTCGGAACCAAGCCATGTAAGGACTATTGCAGACGTCAATCAAACCTACATGAATTGCTCTCTGAATAACAATCCAAATTCCTCCCTTCTAAAATCGCAAATTGATAGTGGAAGGATCATTCCGGATCATTAGTGTCAGCGAGGGGCGCTGGTAACGCGGTTCGCGCCGCTGCCGAGGCACTGTGCTTGTACCTTGCGATTCTCGCTTCCTCGCTACTGAAGTCATTAGCTGTTTGACCGTAGAATCGTCATTCTCTCATTTGCAATGTTTTTTTCATTTGTTTATTGCTTATGGCATCAAACTTTTCATGAGGGATTAGATTTTCAATTCCATTTTTGGAAGTTTTGAAAGGTGTACAGGATCATTGATTGTAAGGATTTATGTCACATGCCTGTGTATGCTAAAGCGGGTCAAAAAAGTTTCTTGGAGCTTTTCTTCGAATTCGGTCTTTGTTGGGATATTGTTTGCAGAGATGTAAATGGAGAGCTGGAGGTATAGAAGAAATGTACAATTTTGTTATAGATAGCTTGATGTGGGTAAGGATTGGGTTTATTTCTAATTTATGGCGAAGATTGGGTATGTTGCTTTAGTAATGATACGGAGAAAGTTGTTTTCAAAGGTAGTGTTTTTTTTTCAAATTAAGCTTCACTTCCTGTACCCCAGATTAGGCTAGCGTAGCTGAGCGTATGGCTGATCAGGGCTTGTGTAGGTAGGTTCCTGTACACATTTGGGGAAGTGAAGGTCGGTCAAGTACTAGTGAATGAGTTCGCTTGGAAAAGACGAAAAGATGTTAGTCTACAATGGAAGAGTATTTCTAGGTATTTTTCTGGGGAGGGGGTTGATTGAAAACCATTTCGTGGCATTGAAATTGAATCTAATGTTTGGCGGAAGAGATCTGTGGCGTGGAAAGAGTTGGCACAACTTTTAGTAGGGTGTAATTTGCTTCTTCATTTATTAAAACACTCAGAAATTTGATTGAGATAGTTTTCAACACCGAGGATAACTATTTCTAAAACTTCGTTATCGGAATATAGTATGATGTGGTTGTCAGTGAAAAGAGCAAGAGAGATGTTGGCGGTGCGGGTCTCTTCGGGGATAAGAATGTGGAAGAGGGTTGCTGTCAGAAACGAGACTTAAATAACTCCAGCAGTAAGTTAAGTTTAGAAAAATGTATCTGATAGTCGTATGAAGAAGAATCTGTCATTAAGGTAACATTAAATAAAATTAACGAGATTTTGTGGTGTACCTATTTCTTTTAGTGTAGTCCTGAATTAGTCCGAAGTTAAATTGAGTCAAAAGCTTGTATGTTGAGAAAGGTTGTTGAAACGTTTATGCTGAGATGTTTGCATAATATTTCCGCTATCGCATTTCCTACTACGTGATCCGCAGTTAAGGAATAGGATCTCTCCACAAACCGCAAATATACTTAGTTCAGGGAAGTGGATGATTATTTTGACATGTCCTAAAATAGTTGAGCGTCATCGAAAAACACTACGCTATAGAATTGGTGTTTATCCCCCAGCTGGGCTTGAGAGCAAGTTGATATTCCCTCGAAAGGGTCAGTTTACGGAGGGCAGTTACGGAGGGCGTCAGGCACACTTTGTTCGAGTAATATAGTTTGTTTCAATATCGACTCTAAATTTGATAAAGTAAGAATAGATACAAATCATGGCGAAAAGACTTTGAGAATATTAATATGAAGTCTTTAATAGAGAAACTCCAAGTGAGGCACGCACATCGATGACAAACGGTCAGCCCACACTCGGTAGATATCATATTCACTTTCAACAAAATTCCCAAGTCCAAATTTCAATTAATTTCTGAACTAAATTCCCGTCTCTTAGTCAAATGATTCATTTAAGTGATGTTTCTTTGTAAAGAAGGTTTGGAGCGTACTTTCCTTACGTTCTAGCTAGATAAATACTGACATCTTTGGAAAAGAGAATTCACACCTCGACGCTAGAAAACGAACTGTGAGCGTGTTCCACAGACACCCATCGGCGACAAACGTATTTCAAAATATTTGGAAGCAGATTACTAAAAAAACGAATCTTCACTGAAATGAAGAATGATGGAACATCAAGTCTAGCAGTATTCACAAAACTATGCCGAGCTTTCTAGCGAACCTATTACAAATTCTCTATTGAATAGAAAACAACCTTTAACAGAATGTTATCTGTACAAGCAGATCAGGCCACATACAACATACCAATTTTTATCGTACAGACCAACTCATACAACCCCTACGTTCGTCTTGAAATACACGTCTATCTGAACACATTTTTACTTCTTTGCCTTATATCGCACGGCGACTGCGATCCTCATAATTACTGCTGATGACTGTGAAATATTTTGTTGGTTTTGAGAGGCGGAAAAAGGTAAATTGATCATAGGACTGGAGCTCTCAATGCTATATATTGCCCCGAAGACAATGAGACAGAATATGCGTAACTTTAAAGCACAAAATTTGTGAAATGATAGATTGTGCAAAACACACACTCATTTTTCATTCAAAACAGCTAGCTTCATCGTACACAAGAGCCAGTCACAGAAGATCTACTGAATAACACATTACTTCTTAACCCTAGAATCAGTTATAATGAAGACAAATATCGTCAATTTTGTGTCCATAAAACATGACTTGATAATTGCGATTGGCTGGCCTATTTATCGCAAATTCTTCCGTCTACATAATGAATTTCAGCGGTTCTTTACGCACTGAATCTCCGAACCACTAAAAGGTTTCTAATACTGCTTGGTTTTATGGATCCATGTACGAAGTCGTCTTGCTACTTCCATAATAACAATAATGGTTAACCACAACATGAAGTTGGAGACTACTTTTTGATAAAAAAAATGTACCGAGGAATGTGGATGAGGTAATAAAGCTTTTTTTAAAGCGAGTGACTCAAGTTTTTGATAGTGCGTTTCTGAATTTTGTTTGAAAGAGGTCAACTTCATAATTGGTTTTTGGAATTCAGATTCTTAGGAATAAATTACTAGAGTTAAAAAGAACTTTAATGTAAATTAATTTACCAGTTTTTCTCTCGTGAATGCATTTTTACAAAACAATATCACTTCACCTTCTTTTTAGTTTGATTGCTCTTCATTTTTTTGTTTTTGTCCCATCCATTAATGTATATTCGGATATGCTTTATACTTCACATGAATCTTGTTTTTCTCAACATCCCTACCATCATGCGTACCCTTAATTCTATTATGGTATCATGTTTCTAATTCTAAAGTTTGCTTGAGACGGCTCAATTGACCTTCCGCATTGCGCTTCCCCCGGGATGATGCTGCCACTTCCATCAGTAGAAATTTGGCAGAATTAGAATTCATAGTTATTTTCGTTAGAGACAAATACTTGGAGGATCGTAGTAACGTTTTTAAAGATACCTTATATAAGTTGTTTTTAGATAGTCATTATGTCATAATGAGCAAAAATACTGATCTCCTCTATTTTTACAAAACATCTCACATATAAAACATAACTAATATGATTGACGTAGATAATTTTAGTGGACTGTGTTTTTAATGTTTTACATGTAATACTTGTTTGTTGAATAAATACAGTATTTATTGATGCTTGTTCACCCGTGCTTGAAGTGTTTTGCCTTTTGAGTTTTTCAAGATAGTAACTTTATTCAAGTGCTTGGGCGTCGGTACGTGTTCCTTGATTCGATTGATTGATTGATTGATTAGTGATTCCGGACGGGTCAACTGCTAAGTTCATTAGCTCCCGTAAGTGTAGTGAATATGACTTCTGCGTGAGGCGGCGGTAATCTCCCTCTGCTGGAGGGTGAGTTGCGGCGCCGATCAAGCGGGCTTGCAAGGTTTCCCTCAACCAGGTATCTCCTAGCAGCGTGACATCGCCCCTGCCAGGACAAGGTCTAATTTCCCGAGTGTGTTGTAGTGTGGTGGATGTAAATGTGAGTGTAAGTAAGAGTGAGGATACGACAAAGAAGACGAAAGAAAGATGACAGGCGGTTTAGGGCTTCTTTGTGAGGGAACGGTACTGCTCTACTACTGCTGTTAATCGGAGAAAGCAAGGAAAACTCCCGATCAGAGCAGCCAGGCGCTTAAATTCTCCTCCTGGCAGCGACTGATTATGATTTAGCTACTTAGCTACAATCGTGCCACCGTGGGGAGTGGAACCCTACAACCTCAACGGCACAGCAAAGCCATTAGTCGGTGCCCCGAGCCAACTTCGTCGGCCCCTTGTTTCGAGTTCTCCACATTCTCTTGGCGCATTTCGCTTCGCGGCGAGGAGCTCCGCCGCTCAGGTGCGTGCGGCGCGAGAGGCCAGGAGTGGGAGCGGCGGCAGGGCGCCTTCCCGCCATGCAACAGACCTGCCCGACCTTGGCGGCTGGCGGCCTTCCTCTCCGCCCCCCCCTCTCTCACACCACATACACACGCACCACGCGCGGCGTCCAGCGGCCGCGGCCGGCGCGCGCGGCGCGGCCAGGCGTTGCCGGGGTTTTTTACAAGCGAGCCAGCGGTAGCGCGAGCGCCCGCCCCCCTCCGCTCCAGCGCCGCCCGCGCCATCTACCGCCGCGGCGGCCGACAGGTGAAGCAGGCAGTGCGCGGCGCCCCTCGCGTGCAGCCGGACGCAGGTGGAGAGCGACGACGCGACGGTGCGAGTGCGCGGCGGGCGATGCCAGCCCTCGAGTGACCCGCGGTTGTGTGTACGTTGGGCGCCATGCTGTGGGTGGTGGTAGTGGTAGTGGTGACGGCGGTGGCGGGCCAGGAGCCCCCCGTGCCCAAGGACCCTTCCGACGACGGCCCCCCGGCCCCCGCCCCCGAGGCAGCGGGGCCCGCCGAGTGCTTCACCGCAGGGAGCGTGGCCGGCGCCGTGGTGGGCACCTTCGCCGCCACGCTGCTGCTCCTCGCCGCCGCCGCGCTCGTCTACAAGTTCTACTGGCGCGGACGCAGAGGTGAGTGGAGGCATGGCCACCTCTGCTGGGGAAGCTCGTGGTTCCGGGCGCGGCGACTGCTGGAGCGGGAGGCGTGGGGTGCAGTGCGTGCGTGACACAGCCGGGAAGTGGCGGTATTCCTCATCCCCTGCGTTTCTAATAGAACATCGGAAGAAACTGCATATCTCTAGCAGATCAGAGTTCCAAACACCTACTCCAAGCACAACGAACACTCTCCAAAACCTGTGACATCTGTTCGATTGTTTGATTGCAGTTTCCGGGAGCGTCAACTGCTAAGGGCATTACCCCCGTAAGCGTAGTGCATGTGTTAAAAGTACCTATACTTCTAAATAATGTAAAAATAAAAAAAATCTGCGACGGTATAATAGATTTGCTTACGTGTTACCATGCGTTTTCATTCTTTGTCATCACAGTGCCGATTCCAATTGATTAATGATTTGGGCGCGTCAACTGCTGAGGTCGCTAGTCCCGTAGCTGTAGTGCATGTTTTGTATCGTGGGAGGTAGAGATGATCTTCCCCACACTGGATGGTGAGACCCGGCACCGACCTACCCGTTGGCTTACATAGTTTCCTACCTCCGGGTATCTCCGCTAGTGGGGAATCACCCCAGTCAACATCACTTCTAACCTTCTAACTGGACTCCCGAAAGTGTGCTAGTGTAATGCATTATAAGTTTGAACCTTGATATTAGCACGGATTTCTGGGATGCTCATTACAACATAAATGATGAACGTTTTTTCAACTATGAAATAAAAGCTGGATTTTTCAACACACTATACTGCACAATTCTTTACTGGTAAGGAGGAGACGCACATCACCATTTCTAAGAACTATATTCTCTTTTTTCTTCGTTGTTAGGAACTTAAGAAAAAAAATATTAAGAAGCAGGGCAGGACTTTGAATCTTTTAAAAATTCATTTTGACGTATCTGTCACTTCATGCCGGAGGAGTGGTCGGCGAGTAAGATGTAAAAACAATAGCATTCATTTTACAGGTGTTGTGCTGGGGCAGTGTTACTCACTATTGTCACAGGCGTAGGCAACCTAAAACAACAAGAGGGGCCAACTTCTCTTCTGGATATCTTCTTTTCAACTTTTATATTTAGATTCAACAATTTAACTAGTAAAAGTGTAGAATATACTTCAAGAAGAATGAAATAGTAACTTCAACTTTATAATTAATAATTAAAATTATTTTATGTTAATCCATTTAGAAGATTGACAGGTGACTAAGGAGTGCTTCTTCCAAAAAGGTTACATAACAATTTTCCAAAAGTCACATTAAAAAAAATATATCGAGTCTACTTGGCTCCTCTCAATATGTTCAAGAAGGGAGATGCCTATACCTATGTTGTCATTGCGTCTATTGGAATTTATGTAGGTTGAATTCAGGAAAATTACATTTCAACCCTTCTATTCAAATAAATATTACTTACAGAAAATACTCTTGATTAAGAGCCGGTATATTGCGAATTTAGTTGTAAGCGTTTGAAAATAGTTGAGAACCGTCAGTTGACTATCGCCTCACTTTGCATTTCTCTACCAAAGAATTCATGATTTGACATTATTTTTCACATTGACTTGCACCAAGTCTTACAATATTTTATTAAGCGACAGTATCAAAGATAATTAAAACCACCGTGAAAATGACTCCTAACCTCCAACTACTTCCTAAAGTGACACTTGTGAGCCATTATCAGCTGATTTTCCAGCCCATATGGCTGGCGGAAGAATATTTCGGCGTGCTCAAATGTTTCGAACGGAATCTGCCAAAATAACCATCCACCGACCTGTGCAGGACGCCCTCCCTTGAAGCTGCTCGCATTGCCATCTGTGGTGCGAGGGGGTCAGCCCTCGTTTTTCGCAGTGTTATTTTATCGATTTAACAGATTTTCGAATACCAATTTTCATGAATCCAAAATTCTAAATGCCTTATTTATTAATCTCAAATCCCCGTTATCAAAATACAAATTAGGGTGGGAGGAAGAGCTGAAATAATACTCTTCTTAGACACTTAATATATTGGGATCATTGGGCCTTCATGAATAATGACAATGGGAACTTAAAATGTTAAGCAATTTGTACGCTTCTTTAGACGGTGTTCGGACATTGTACATTCCAGTACTGGATACCAATTACGTTACCAAATATTAATATTTTTGTTTCTGCATTTTGAAGTTTCTTTAATACATCATCGCCTACCGAATCTATTCTTTCTACTGGCGATGGTATTCATTGATATTGAGCTACGAAACAATTATTTCTGAATCGGCTTGTTCTTTATGGAATCTGTAGGCGCAGAATACTGATCTGGGCGGTGTTTGCTGATGACAAAGTGAAACGTGTCCGCAATCTTCTCTAAAAAAATCTTAATCTTGTGGGCACCTATGAGAATCGTTTGATGCTGGCTCGTAGCTTCTACCAGATATTAGGATGGTAAATGGCTTCCTTCTTCTCCTCGGTGTTTGACCATTGACATAATTCCCTCCAAAGTAATCGAAAACATGCAGAAGATTATTTGGCGCTTCCTCCCTGAGTGTGTGCAAAGCATGCACTACATCTTGAATGGGAATGAAATCAACTACCATTATCATATGCACAAACAAGTTTACGTTATAGTTTAGAGATAATTATAAACCTCTTGAAGTCCTTCAGTTTGGATTTTACGGAAAACAGATTGGCCTAAGTGAACTAAACATGTGGCACGTCAGGAAACAGTATAGAGGATTTAACGATCGCATTTTTCGAACTCAGAAATTGTTTATTGAGTTTTAGAGATATAAATTCTGCCCTCAGAGGCTACGTTGACAGCAGCGCAAATTGTTTATAACTTTCTGCATTATGATGAAATATAATATTTTGTTCCTATCAAAAATCTAAAGTAGTACACGAATGTATAATTTAAGAACTCAAGTTACGAAAAGGGTAATAAAATGAAAAAAAATGGAAAGTAAAACAACAGTAAATGAAATAAAAACAAGTATAACAATGAAATGACTGATGAAGCCTAAAATAAGCAATGTATTTGGTAAATAAAGGCATACAATATAAAAATAGGTTTCAAACTTCGGAGACAATACCATTCGAGATAATATATTCAGAAATGTTGTAGATTTTCTTTTTCGGTGATTTCGTCATTCGTGGAAACGGTCGTTAGTGAACGGCAACCCTTCTGAGTCACCCTTCTGAGGGCTGGCTTGCAGGGCTTTCGCGGAAGTGAACGTGACCAACCGTTCCGGGGGGTTCCGGGAAGTGCCGCGTGCTCCGCCAGTCACCAGCTGACTCCCACTCGCCGAGCCGCTGAATGGAATGAACACATCCACCAAAACCAATCTCAACGTTCGTAACAAAAGTGTTCATTATAGAAGCTTTCCTAGTCGCGTTCCTACCAGTGATTTACTACGCTCTTTCTTGCGATACCTGATGCCGTCGGAAGCTGGAGACATTGATTTTATATAATCACTGAAAAAAAAGTAATAATAACTTTGAAATTACGAATGACGTTGGCAGTGAGTGTTTGAAGAAACGCAGTGAGGAAGTGCGCGTGATTCAGCTTGGTTTTACTACATGTTCTAGGAGGAGACAAACAGTCGACAGTTCTTTCCGATCCCATTGTGCCAGAGTTGACGAGGACAGGTTGCCAGAGAGAGAGAGGACGAATAGATAAATTTGTCTGTCAATTGGATAAAAGTGTATCTAATTATAATACTTAAAAAAACCGCTGATCTACGTATTCACAAAAATTAGCGAAGGTTGATGTTCGTACAGGCGAAGGTAGACATTTCACCGTTCACTAATTACAACCTACATATATCGTGTTAATTATAGAACCAGAGTCCATTATCTATCAGTTACTACATTTTATTACTATGCCCATTGCAGTCAGAAAATAATCACTACTTCATTTGGTCGGAATACGAAATGTTACTCATTATTACGATGATGTGCTTCAAACAAATATTACCTGATCAAAAGTACTCCTAATTGATCAGCCTGATCGGGTTAACATGTACGTTCGTAAAATAATCGAAATGTTCTACATTTCCAGATCATGTTTGGTATAAAAATGGTTTGCCCATAGTTACAAAAAAAATGAGTCTAGTCGGACGCTTAGGGGCTGGCTGTGGCGGTGTTCCACTTGGGGAGATACATGGAAGGGAAACCCCCCTCAAGCCGACTCGTAGGTCGGCGTCGGATCTCTTTCCTGCTGAGGAGAATCGCCACCTCCCGGCTGTAACATGCACTACACTCACGGGATTAATGACAAAATCAGTTTGCTGCTCCTGAAGTACTAAATAAAAACAACTTTTTCGGTATCCGGGGACCCCAAAACGTGTATTTACGTGGAAAACTCGAAATCGATTTTCAGGAGCATTACATAACTTTCTCTATACTGCGTACATCACTTCGTATATACGTATGTATAGAGAAAGTAATTAATCAAGCGAACGTCAAAAGCACCTGGAGGAATATCCTGTAGGTGGCTGCAACAACTCCCCTCCACAGTGCAGTTTGCGGAGAGGGGCCGTGCCCCCGTCCCCGCTTCGCCGCGCCGCGGGGGCTCGGGCCCCCGGATTCCGTTCGCCCACGAGCTGTGAAGATCGCTCCGCCGATAATGCTCAATCCGGGGCTGTTATACAATTTGTCCGGGCTGGCGGCATCAAATACGTTCCTTCCGAAGCACTTTGTAATGCTTTTACAATCGCTTCGTCAGCTGACCAGCAACAGCTCTTGAAAAGGAACTGCGCTCTACAAAACGTATCACATGCTACTTTTTGTAGGGGGCGGAATGTCTGGATCTTTGCACGAAGCCTCGGCGGTGTATAGTTTTTCCTCGTCACACCATCAATTTCGTGGCATTGACAAACAGAACACGTCTTTATGATCTAAAGACAAGGGTAAATCTTCGTGCTACTTTTGTAATTAATGATTGAATCTTATTTATGACAAGAGTTAAGGTGACCGAGTTTTCACATGCTTCTACATATTTTTGAAGGTAC